CAACAATAGCCAAATTATGGAAAGAGCCTAAATGTCCATCAGCTGATGAATGGATAAAGAAATTGTGGTTTAGGGGCACCTGGGTGGCGCAGTCAGTTAAGCGTCCGACTTCAGCCAGGTCACGATCTCGCGGTCCGTGAGTTCGAGCCCTGTGTCAGGCTCTGGGCTGATGGCTCAGAGCCTGGAGCCTGTTTCCGATTCTGTGTCTCCCTCTCTCTCTGCCCCTCCCCCGTTCATGCTCTGTCTCTCTCTGTCCCAAAAATAAATAAACATTGAAAAAAAAAATTTTAAAGAAATTGTGGTTTATATACACAATGGAGTACTATATGGCAATGAGAAAGAATGAAATATGGCCCTTTGTAGCGACGTGGATGGAACTGGAGAGTGTGATGCTAAGTGAAATAAGCCATACAGAGAAAGACAGATACCATATGTTTTCACTCTTATGTGGCTCCTGAGAAACTTAACAGAAACCCATGGGGGCGGGGAAGGAAAAAAAAAAAAAAGAGGTTAGAGTGGGAGACAGCCAAAGCATAAGAGACTCTTAAAAACTGAGAACAAACTGAGGGTTAATGGGGGGTGGGAGGGAGGGGAGGGTGGGGGATGGGTATTGAGGAGGGCACCTTTTGGGATGAGCACTGGGTGTTGTATGGAAACCAATTTGACAATAAATTTCATATATTGAAAAAAAAAATAACAGCGTAGAGAAAATAGTCAGAGGTACTGTAATAGTGCTGTGTGGTGCCAGATGGTAGCTCCACGTGTAGTGAGCACAGCACAACGTACACTATCCAATCACTATGTGGTACACCTGAAACTGATGGAACACTAAAATCGACTGTACTTCAATTGGTTTGAAAAACTGCCCTTAAAGACTGAATAGTAAAACAAAGGAATGTTGACTGCATCCATCTTATTTTGAAGAGCGGGGGGAAAAAAAAACCATTTTCAACCAATCCAATAAGATCCTGTTTCTTTTCTTTTTTTTACGTTTATTTATTTTTGAGGGAGACGGAGACAGCATGAGCGGGGGAGATGCAGAGAGAGGGAGATAGGGAATCCCAAGCAGGCTCTGTGCTGCTAGCACAGAGCGTGACACGGGGCTTAGACTCATGAAACCATGAGATCATCACCAGAGCCGAAACCAAGAGTCAGACGCTTAACTGACTAAACCACCCAGGCGCCCCAGATCCTATTTTTAAGAGAAAAAGAATTCTATTTTCAAAGTGTCTAAAGCTTATACAAATGTCTAAACAGACTAGCATTCTGGCACATCCACTCTAGAAAGTTAATTTTAACCCTAGAAAATAATGATTTTTTGACTCAGTAAAAAAGAATAAATTAAAAAATAAAGTATCTCTATAGCCTATAATAGATTAGAACAAAGAATGAATATTTTCATTTCTTTACCAAAAATTTTAAGCTCTGATTTCTACAACAGATCAGCAATGCTACTGGTTACATTTCAGCAGAGGGCACCAGCTGTTTGCTGCAGAAGACTTTAAACAGGCCCTAGAGAATCACAGGGGACAAAGGGGACAAAGGGAGCAAAGGAAGGAGATGGAACCTCCTTTAGACAGACTGTTGTTTAATCAGGGCCTGAACTAAAAGAACATTTTTCGGGACCAAAAAAAAAAAAAAAAAGTATATATATATATATATACACACACACACACACACACACACACACACATATAAATAAATAAACGTGTGTGTGTGTGTATAATTCTTTCCCCTTGATCAGCTACATTTTGTTTTTGCTTTTGCTTTTTAAAATATTTTTAATGTTTATTTATTTTTGAGAGAGAGAAAGAGTGCAGTCAGGGGAGGGGCAGAGAGAGATGGAGACACAGAATCTGAAGCAGGCTCCAGGCTCCAAGCTGTCAGCACGGAGCCTGATGTGGGGCTCGAACTCAAGAACTGCGAGATCACGAGTTGAGCCAAAGTCAGACGCTCAACAGACTGAGTCACCCAGGCGCCCCGATCCGCTACTTTTTCTGGAAGAATGTGTATAATTTTAAAAGAAAAAAATTTTAAGCCACATCTGTATATTCTTTAAATGAACTGAGGAGTTTTAAACCCAAATTTTTGAGGTCTTATTTGATTCCCTACAAACGTATTTTAGTTCTGTTCTGTGGCCATGGCTGTGGTCAAAATGGCTGCTATCTCAAACACTTCAGGATAATGATTTCTTTTTTCAAATTCTTACTGGAAAAGAGGTCTCTACCTCACTTAGCAATGACCTACTTTTCCAATACAGAAAGTGACAGATTCAACTTCTATTCCTGTGAGAGGTTGTAATTTGATAAACAAGGAAGGCAACTGTGGTCCTGTCCCTGTGTCTCTTCTGTGCCTCGCTCATGTCTCTGAACACTGGCAGCCATTTGTACCTCCTGGCTGATGTCTCTGAAATCTGTAATTCCCTCCCAATTTAATATCTGTGTGAAGATACTAGAGAAAGGTGACAGCCAACTGTGGCAGAGCTGTTTGTTCTGTAGCAACTGGCAACCGAAGGAATGCGGACAAGTGCAGTCTCAAGGCAGCTCCTTGGACAGCTGGATTAGGAAAGAGGCATTAGCCATCTCAGCACAAAAATGCACAAGGACCCCTCACCATGCCGAGAGTGGCCCTTCTGTTCTTGTTTCTGTGGAAACCCTCTACAGTGGAGACGAAGGCATGGACATTCTAGAATTTGGTTCACCACGTTGGAGGAGGAAATGATCCGAACCACTACAGAGAGCACACTACAGACTTGGATAGGGTTTATTCCCTTTCCCCCCTCTCCCCTCTCTCCCTCCTTCCCATTCGCCCTCACCATTTATTAATAGAGCTGAAACAGGGTTTGGGCCTTTCATCGTTCGAACTATTCACAAGGCCTCTCCTAAAAGATCCCCTCGGGAAAATCCACTTCTCTCCCCTTAGGGCTTCCACTGAGTGCAGAGTAGTACAACCGGGGTTTAGAGGCCTCCCCTTGATGGTAAAGAACCTGGGCTCCAGATAAGACACCTGGCTGTGCCTCACCGCAGGGCTTTATGTTGGTTCCTTAACCTCTCTCACTCAGCAAGGCAGAATTCGGGTCTTTGGAGTTAGGTTGCCAGATAAAATATAGCAGGACACTCAGTTAAATTCAAATTTCGGATAAACAATGAACCACGTTTAGTAAGAATATGTCCTAACTATTGCATGACATCCTATATTTATTTGGTAAATTTGGCAACCCCACTTTATAAAGTCCCAAAGGCCTACTCCTTCCCTCACTCACTACCACATGATTATAAAAAAAAATCTATAAAGATATGCAAAAAAGTTCACTGAAGATCATATTTTTCCACAATACTTTTATTGAAACTTCAGATTTTTTTCAAAACCTATTTTTGGGAGCCCAAGCATTTGCTCAGTTTGCCTGTTCATCCATCACTGCATTTTTTTCTTAATTGCGGTAAAATATGGCTAATGTAAAATTTATCACTTCAACCACTTTTAAGTGTACAGGTCCGTGGTAGTAAGTACAGTCACACTGTTGTGCAACCGTCATCACCTTCTGGCTCCAGGACTCGTTTCATCTCACAAAACAAACTCTGTACCTGTTAAACACTAACTCCCCATTCTCCCTCACCCCAGCCCCTGGCAGCTACCATCCTACTCTCTGTAGGAGTTTGACTACTCTAATTACCTCATATAACTGGAATCATTCAGTACCTGTCGTTCTGTGACTGGCTTATTTCACTTAGCGTGATGTCCTACAGGCCCAGCTATGTTGTGACACGGGTCAGACTTCTTCCCTTTGTAATGCTGAGGAGTGTTCCACTGTGTGGACAGACCATGTTTTGTTTATCCATTCATCCATCAGTGGGTGCTGGCAATGTTTCCATCTTTTGGCTTTCATGACAATGGGTATATAAATATTTGTGCAAGTCTCTACTTTCAATTCTTTTGGGTATATTGCCAGAAGTGGGATTACTGGATCATTTAATGTTTATTTTTGAGAGCGAGAGCGTGCATGAGAGAGCAGGGGAGGGGCAGAGAGAGAGAGAGGGAGACAGAGGATCTGAAGCAGGCTCTGTTCTGACAAGAGAGCCCGATGCATGGCTCGAACTCATGAACTGTTGTGAACTCATGAACTGTTGTGATGATGACCGGAGCCGAAGTTGGACGCTCAGCCGAATGAGCCACCCAGGCGCCCTGGTAAATCTACTTTTAATTTTTTGAGGAACCACCATACTTTTTCCCAAGCATCCAGGACTGTTTTTAAGCCTCAATTTTTTCATCTGTAAAATGGGATTATGGAACCAATATCAAAGTAGTACATATTTAGGAAATACTAAAATTGACTCAAAAGAAAAAAAAATGCCTGGGTAAGCTAGTAACATTGACTTTGGTGAAATTTAATCCTTGGTCACACATGCCCATAAAAAAAGGCCAATAATCAGTTGGTTTAAAGGCAAGTTTTACTAGCCATCAGAAACAAACAAACAAACAAACAAAAAAACTAACCAACTCACTCAATATGCTGGTATAACCTTAGAAGGCCCAATTTATATAATACACTACTGATCTTCCTGTACTGTTTGTCTATACAACCATCTCTAAAATGATGCACTGTAATCAGGGATGATATACACACAGCTGAATACAACAATGTATCAACACAGGCTTACGAATTAAGTAATAATTTAGTGTCCAAACCAGAAATTGAGAGGAAAACAGATAAAATGCTCTATTAGTATTTCCGAGCCCAGAAGGCATCTGTATTTTCACTTTAGAACACTAGAAATCAAAGGCTAAATTGTGGTACCAGGGGACAGACTGGAGTCCTATGGACAGTCTGGGAAGGTTTAATACCTGTTAAGTAGGCTTGGCGGAATGCACAACAGACGCATTTGTGGGCCGGAGCCCAATTTACAAATTGCTTTCACATGCGTGGTGGTGGTTGGGTGTAGAGCAGAGAGTATGGGACCTTGATACATGGGTCTAGTAAAGAAAGGAGACTGCTGGGAGCAATGGGAGCAGGTGTGAAGAGAGAACAGAGTGGATGGGGCCCGATCATCGTCAGCCCACCAGTCAAGCAGGTAAGGAAGGAGATGCCCTGTGAAGCATGAGGGTTTTCTCTCAGGGGAATGCTGTGACGAGACGGTGTGCTTTTTTTCATTATATATGTATGTATATATGTATTTTTTTAATTTAAAAATACTTTATTGCTAAAAACTCTTAACCATCATCTGAACTTTTTGTTTTCCAAATTTTTATTGGAAAATTCTAGTTAACATACAGTGTAATATTGGCTTCAGGAGCAGAATTTAATGATTCACCACTTACATATAACCCCAGCGCCCACCACCATTTAGCCCATCCCCCGCCCACCTCCCGTCCACCAACCCTCAGTTCGGAGACAGTGCATTTGGAATCACAAACTGGCTGGAGATGCAGCCTGCACAGCCGGTTGAGCAAGACTAAGTGGTAGCCGACAACCAGGGCGGTGAAGAAGGACAAAAGAACGGCCCAGGATTGTTAGAGGCTCCATGTTAGCTTTAGCCACTAAGAGATTATGAGGCTCAGCAGGGAGCCTGGAGCACTGCGAGTGCAGGTTCCATGAACAGGAGATAAGTTGAGAGAAATCATAAGCTTATGCTCTGAATGTACCGAGTTTGAGAAAACGGTGAGAACATCTGAAGCAGGATGTCTTAGCCGGTTGGATGAAGAGAAACTGGGACAAGGTGAGGAAAGAGCTGGCCAATGAGCTGAGGGCTTACGCGCTGCTGCCTCCAAGGTGTGTGCCCAAGACCACCAGAGTCCCAGCTGAGGAAACATCAAGATTGACCTTAGGACTACAAGGAAGGAAAACTAGCTAAGAAATTCGCATTGGGCAATGTTCACATGTATTTTCTAAAAAGCATTGCTGAGTTTTGAGGGCGTTTCTTCCATAAAATAGCTATTGAGAGAATGGATGGATTCTGTCTTCTGGATTCTGCAACTGGTTTCTCTCACCACGTTTCGTTTTCTATGGGTAATATATATTTTTTTAAATAGGAGGGAATTAGTGATGCAGAAATAAGGAAGTCTCACTAGATTTCTTATAATGATGGTGCTACTTGGTGGCTCTCCTTTCTTCACCAGTAGCAGAAACTCTTTAATGGCTGATTACATATTTTAAAATCCCACCAAAATCCTTATGCTTGCTCCTCGGCCATAATAAACTCCCTCCAGGTAACACACTGTTACCTGGCTTTTCTCTCTTGCTTGGAACTGTGACTGGAGGCATTTCTGCCCTGCCCCCACCCCAGGACTCTTGCACAACTACAACCTTAATTATTCCTGTATCAGCCTCTGAATCACTTGTTCCTAATGGCAGAATATCTCTAGTGCAGTTCCAAATGTCTAAAAAGCATTAACAGCCTGAGCAGAAAGTATCAGGGCTTTTTCTTAGGTTTGACTACACTGAAAAGAAAAGTAAATATGGGCTTATCTCCTAACACCTGTGGTAACCAGTTTTAGTTAGGTATTATGTTAAAGCCTTAAGATTTCTCTATCAAGTTATTATTTTATAATGTTTTCAAATGCCAAAAATGTCACATAAATTTCAAGTCTATGCAGTTACATAGACTTGATGTCTCTGATGTCTCTGATGTCTTCCTAGACTGCCCTCTACAGCAGTGACTGCTCTGGTTAGGACCTGTCATTGTTTTTAATGGCTCTTGGTTACAGTCCATTTTCCCTTCAGTGTGCTCCTCAGTGATCCTCTAGTTGTTTTAAAGCTTCTGGGCAGGTCTATATTGTGTTTGATATTTCTTGGGAATTTCTCCCAGAGCTAACATAATTAGGACCTGTGGAAGAATATTAGCAAATAATTATTGAATATTAGTTTATCATTTTTTCTAAAAGTATCTCAGCAGCGTATTTCTTTGTACAAATAGAGACTTTACAAATGTAATTCCCCTGTACTGTCTAATAAACATAAAACAAATGGCAGATAAGTCTCTTTTGCAAGATATTTCCAAAAGAAGTTCTTGAAGCTTAACACTTTTCATAATACGTAGTGCAATTTTCAGCTTAATATATCCTGAAATGTCAACACTACCAGGATTTTTTCAAATACATAGCCCATGTTCCTTTCAAACTTTTTCAGTGTTGAGCAACAGGACCTATAGCAGCCTTCAGAAGCAAGGCCTTGGATGGGAACATAATGGAAATTTTTTTTGTAACACAATTTAGAAATATTTTCTTTTCACAGTACATGTAGTATGTATTACTTAGCTATAAAGTATTAAAGCACAAACTCCAGTTTGAATATTGAAGAGCTGTGGTCTGCTTACATAATTACAAGAATTTCATAGCTATGAAAGGGTAAAGTTTTTGGCAGTTTGTATTAGCCAGAACCATTATAAGCATCAAGCATCTCATGAATAATTTAATTTTTAGCATGTGTTCAAAATCCAAATGAGATGATCTGTTATAAACAAAAAGCAGTAAACGCTTCGGTAAAAAATTGAAGAATGCATAACTAACAGAGTTATGTCTCTATTAGGTGGTCAGAAGAGAACAATTAGGGAAAGAACATCAGTTGAGGACGCAGGTGGGAGCTTGTGAGGAACAGACACACCAGAGGTTAGATTTGAGGCTCTGCAACCAGACTAGAAAAGTAAGCAGAATTAGGTGCAGGTAGGAAGTCAGTGAGTCTGGTTAATACTGTGTGATTTAAAAAACATTTTTTTTTCTAATGCTTATTTTTGAGAGAGAGAGAGAGAGAGAGAGAGAGTGAGTGAGTGAGCCGGGGGTGGGAGGCAGAGAGAGAGATGGGAGACACACAATCTGAAGCAGGCTCCAGGCTCTGACCTACCAGCACAGCTCCCAAGGCGGGGCTTGAATTCACGAACCGTGAGATCATGACCTGAGCTAAAGTCAGACACTTAACCGAATAAAACACCCAGTTGCCCCAATACTGTGTGATTTAAATGTAATTCTGCACCCTTGAAGCTTGATTAAGTTGAACATTGAATTTAAGAAGAAATATAAGTGAAAAGGACCAAAGAAAAAGTAGGAATGATCTGGCAGGATTAATTAAGGCTGACTGGGAAAAAAAATGTCCAATATTGGAAGACTCTATGCAAAGCTTTTGCTATTTCAGGAGAGATCAGAAGTGAACTGAAGAAAGCACTTCTTAGTAGGCAAACCTAAAAGAGAACACTTTTTCCCCTTTCATTAAGTGTTATATTGGAATTGAAATAAATGGTGGGGGGATGGGGAGAGGAATCCTAAACTGATAAAGTGACTGAGTAAGTGAATAATGCTGACACTTAAAGCGATCTCCAAAGTCAAGTGGAAAGATATGCATATGTGTGTTTTTTTAAATTGATATAACAACAGAAAATGGGATAGAACTTAGGGTCTGAACAAAACCCAGTTAATTTTAACACCAACAATTCTTCAGAAGCTTACAACAGGACCCAAGGTCTACAATACATGACATTTGTAATGTCCAAGATACAATTCAAAATCTCTCAAAGTACACACCACTAGGAAAACAGGATTAATTCTTAAAGGAAAATAACATTCAACAAATGCCAATCTCTAAGATAGAATTATCAGACATTAAAGTAGCTTTGCTTCATAAGGTCAGGGAAAACACATTTGAAATGAATGAAATGATACAAATTCTCAACAGAGAAATGGAAAGCTAAAAAGGAATCAATTGAAAGTGAACTAAAAAATGCAATATCTGAAATTTAAAAAACAATGACTGGATGGACTCAATATCAGAATAGAGATAATAAAAGAAAGAATCAGTAACTTGAATATACAATAAGATAAATTTTCCAACCTACCAGAGATAAAAGATTGAAAATAAAACAGTGCGTAGATAACATCTAAAGATTTAGTATAGCATAATTAGAGTCCCATAGGAAGAAAAGAGATTGGAATAGATAAAATATCTTTAGCAAGAATAGCAAAGTACTCCCTCAATGTAGTGAAAGGCATACATACACTTACAGATTCCAGACACTTAGCAAGTTCCATACAGAACAAGCTCAAAGAAAACAATGTCTCAAAGCATAACAACTAATAGCTGGAAGAGAAAAAACACACACACACATTACACATAGGGGAACAATGATTCAAATATCCATGAAGTTCTCAAAAGAAACCATGAAGGCCAGAAAACAGCAGAACCACATTTTTAATGCAGTAAAAAAAGCTCACTCAACCGAGAATTCTACATCCAGTGAAAATATCTTTCAAGAATAAAAGTGAAAAAAAGACATTCTCAGATGAAAGAAAACAGACAGAATTAATCAAGACCAGTTCTGCTCTAACATCAGAACATATTTTTAAAAAACTCTTACAATGCAATAATAATAATATAAACAACCTTATTTGAACAGATATTTCACAAAAGAAAAAATATGAATGGCCAACATGCAGAAGAAAAGATGTTCAACATCATTAGTCATTAGGGATATGCAAATTAAAACCAAAATGAGATCTGAGTTACAGTCCAAGATGGCAACATAGAAAAAACCTGAACTCATGTCTTCTACAGACACACCTATCTACACCTATTTATGGAGTATTTTCTTCCTGAAGAAGAACTAAAGTCTGACTTAACAGCTTCAGTACAACAGAAGATAGAGAAGGGCAAGAGAGACAGAAACAAGGAAACAAAGGGAACCCTACTGCCAACAAAGATGTTAACTGCAGTGGAGAAGAATAGCACTGATGGACGCTGAGCAGATCTGTCTGCCCTAGGGCACTGAAAAAGAAAAAAAGAAGCCACAGTTTCAAAGAGCAACTAGTACGTAAAAGATCCAGCCCTAGAACCCTGCCAAATGTCCGGGAAGCTGCTGGAACTCTAAGTTTCAGGAGCTGGTGAGCGCTATGATTTACATTCCCCCTCTACCTTGAGAAGATGGACTGCAGCAGGGTCTGAAGGCCTTAGCTGGCCTGCCGCCTCAGTGAGCACTAGGTCTGTACCCTGTACCAGTCCCACCCTCCCCTCCAAGGCAGCCGGAGGGCAGTGCACATGGGGAAACCCCTGGGTCCGCACTCACTAAGCTCCAGTGGTCATTCCAGTGTGACACAGGTACAAAGCACTGCAGAACACTTCAGACTCCTACCACACTGGCTTCAGGCACCTTGCTAGGGCAGGGCGCCTCTGGCACAGTGCACTCTGGGACCTCACTGCTGATGTGTGCTTTGGCTCCAGTCACCCCACCAAGGTGCCCCTTGTGTGGAATGCCCCGAGAACCTCCAGCCTGTGCCCATCTCAGTTCCAACTGCCGTGCCAGGGAACCCAGGATACCCTCACCTGCACCCACCTCAGCTTCAGCTGCCCTTCCAGGGTACCCGCTACACACAGAGCCCAGGGACAACACCAGCTCACACCCACTCCAGCTACAGCTTTCCAGCCAGAACAACCCCTGGGCGGAACACCCCAGAATCCTCTGGCCCACACTCAGCCTCAGCTCCCGCCACAACATGCTCTTCATGGAGAGATCCGGGATGTCGCAACTTATATCCACTTTAGTTCTGCTATCCTGACAAGGTGGCCTCTGCACATAGAGCCCCAGGACCTCCCACTTGCACCCACTTCAGCTGTAGCTGTGCTGCCTGGGTGTCCTCTATGTTTAGAGCCCTAGGACCCCTCAAGCCTACACCCACTTCAGCGGTAGCTATCCTGCCAAGGTGCCCACCGCATGGAGAGCCCTAGAACTTCCCAGCTGCCAACCTGCCTCAGCTCCCACTGCCCTGCCAGGTCACCCTCAGTGTAGAGAGCCCTACAACATCCCAGCTTACACCAACTTCAGCTTCAACTACCCTGCCAAGATGCCCTCTGTGTCTAGAGCCTCAGGACAGCCCAAATTGTACCCACTTTCAGATTCAGCTGTCCTGCCAGAGCACTTTGTTCACAGAGAGCCCAGGAACCACACCAAGCCCTGATGACTTCAGCTTTAGCCATCCTGCCAGGGCGCCCTCTGCAGTTAGAGCTATATGCAACCTCTTGCCTTGAATTCACTTCAGCCTCAGCTGTCCTGCCAGGGCTCCCTCTTCATGTAAACCCGAAGAGTTCCCCACCTGCATCCATTTCAACAATACCTGTCCTGCCAGGGCACTCTCTGCACATAGACACCCAGGACTCATTGGCTTGCCCATGGGTACAACCTACAGCTGTCCTTTTGGGGTGCCCTCTGCAGAGATACTTAGGACCAACTGCAGACTATGCCCACTTCGGCTCCAGCCATACCACAAAGACAGCCCAGCACAAACTGCCACATGACCCCTAGTATACACCAGCCACAGCTCCAGCCAGACAGCCAAAGTCACCAGGCACACACAATCTACATAGGGGATAACCATACACAAGATGATTCTTTCACACTCAGGAGAAGTAGCTCTTGTGCCTAATTCATAGAAACAAACACAGAAAGTCAAACAAAATGGGGAGACAGAGGAATATGCTCCCAATGAAAGAACAAGACAAAACTTTAGTTGCTAAGCATCTGACTTGGGCTCAGGTCATGATCTCACAGTTCATGAGTTCAAGCCCCACACTGGGTGACCTTAAGCCCCACTTTAGGTGAGCTCGAGCTCTGCTTTGGGTGAGCATAAGCCCTGCTTCAGATGAACACGAGCCCTGCTTCAGGTAAAAACACAAGCCCCACTTCAGGTGGGGCATTTTTGTGTCCTCTCTTACTGATTTGTGTCCTCTCTCTCTCCCTTTCAATCTCTAAATAAATAAATAAATAAATAAATAAATAAATAAATAATCTTAAAGATTCTCGCTGGACTGGAGAGAAGAGTGGAACTCAGGACTTCAACAAAGAGATGGAAAATATAAAAAAGAACCAATCAGAATTGAAATTAGTAACTGAAAGAAAAAATACCACGGGAATCAATAGATTAGCAGATGAAGAACAGATCTGCAATCAGAAAGACAGGGTAATGGAAAGCTGAATTCATCCCAGCTGAATAAAGAGAAAATCGCATTAAAAAAATAAGGACAGGTTAAGGGAAATCTTGAACAATATCAAGCAAACATTTATATTATAGAGGTCCTAGAATAAGAAGACCAAGAAAGGAGCAAACTTATTCAAATTTATTTGAAGAAATAATAGCTGAAAACTAGCAAAGGAAACAGACATCCAGGGTCAGAAAGCACAAAGAGTTCCAAACAAAATGAACCCAAGGAGGGCCACACCATAACACATAATAAACAAAATGTCAAGGTTAAAGATAAAGAGAATTTTACAAGTAGCAAGAGAGAAGTAATACGCAAAAGAATGAAACTAGACCACTTTCTTACACCATACACAAAAATACACTTGAAATGAATTAAAGACCCAAATGTGAGACTTGAAACCATAAAAGTCCTAGAAGGAAACATAAGCAGTAATTCCTTTGACATCAGCCGTAGAAACAGGCAAGCAAAACACAAGCAAAATTAAACTATTGGGACTATATCAAAATAAAAAGCTTTTGCACAGTGAAGCCATCAACAAAACAAAAAGTCATCCTACTGAATGGGAGAAGATATTTGCCAAATGATATATCCAATAAAGAGGTTAGTATCCAAAATAAATAGAGAACTCATACAAGTCAACACCAAACAAACAAACAAAAAACAAACAAAAAAAACCCCCAAAAAAACAACAAATAATCTGATTGAAATGGGCAGAGGACCTGAATAGGCATTTTTCCAAAGAAGGCATACAGATGGCCAACAGACACACAAAAAGATGCTCAACACTGCTAATCATCAGGGCAAACAAACCAAAACCACAATGAGATATCACTTTACACCTGTTAGAACGGCTACAATAAAAAACGCAAGAAATAACAAGTGTTGGCAAGGATGTGGAGAAAAAGGAACCCTCACGCACTATTGGTAGGAACGTAAAATTAGTGCAGCCACCGTGGAAAACAGTACGAGTTTCCTCAAAAAATTAAAAATAGAATTATCATATGATCCAGTAATTTCACTGCTGGGTATTTACCCAAAGAAAACAAACACAAAAAAGTAATTCATAAGATGCACCATGTTTATTGCAGCATTATTTACAACAGCCAAGACATGGAAGCAACCTAAGTGTCCACTGATAGAAGAATATATGGTATAAGGGGCGCCTGGGTGGCTCACTCAGTTAAGCTTCCAACTTCAGCTCTGGTCATGATCTCACAGTTTGTGGGTTTGAGCCCCACGTCAGGCTCTGGGCTGAGAACTCAGAGCCTGGAACCTGCTTCGGATTCTGTGTCTCCCTCTCTCTTTCTCCCGTCCCCTTCTCACTCTATCTCAAAATAAATATTAAAAAATTTTTTAAAGAACACACACACTGGAATATTACTCATCCATAAAAAATGATACGATCTTGCCATTTGTGACAACATGGATGGACTTACAGAGTATTATGCTAAGTGAAATAAGTCAGAGGAAAGCTATTTGCTTATGTTTTTCATTTAAATGTGAATCTAAGAAACGTTAAAAAAATGAAGAAACAAAAAGCAAAATCAGACCTATGTAGATACAGAGATAGATGCAGAGAACATACGGTTGTCAGAGGAAAGCGGGGAAGGGCAAAATGGGCTAAGGGGAGTGGGAGACACAGGCTTCCAATTAAGGAATGAACAAGTCACAGAAATAAAAGGTATGGAATAGGGAATGCAGGTGATGGTACTGGAATAGTGTTCTATAGTGACAGATGGTAGCTACACTTGTAACAAGCATAATGTAGAAGCTTATCAAATCACTACTGTTATACACCTCAAACTACTGTAATACTGTGTTTGAACCATACTCAAAAAAAAAAAAATAGAACAACACAAACTGTCTTATAAGGGCTGTGAATCTAATGTGTATATCCAGCAAGTACTTCTTAATCATATAATGTGAGATTTAGGAAGAATTTTAGAAGTCATTTAGCTTCACCTCTCCTCCAACATAGGCATTTTCTCCCATAGCTTTCTTGACAAATGTTTGCCAATCAAGACTTATTTATAATATTGAGGGGCACCTCATGGTGTTGGCAGCTCCATTCCCTTGCTGGATTGCTCTCATCAGTAACTCCTGCTTCTTGCTATGGTTCTTTGCAGCCTCACAGAATATGTCTACCCTTATTCCATATGACAACTCTTCACCCAGTAGGTGACTGCTAATCTGTCCCAACTAAATACCACCAGATCTCATAATGATTTTTCACATCACACTGACTAATGCATAAACACCCAAAAATTAACTGTACTTAACTCTGGAAGGTAAGAGTACAGGTATATTTTAATTTATTTCCTTATATGTAAACTCTAATTTTTGCAATACATATTTTACTTTAATAATAAGAAGAAAAACACAACAAGATCCAACCACATACGTTCTAAAACACTGAAAGTGCCACCAAGAATTTGAGCAACTGGAGCTCTTGTACCTTGCCAGTGGAAATGTGAAATGGTATAACTTCTATGGAACTGTTTAGTAACTTCTTTAAAAAATTAAATATAGACCTACCATACATACCAACTATTCTATTCTTGCTATTTACCAAATAGACCAAGACTTGTTTAGGTAAATGTTTTTAGGAGCTTTATTTGCAGTAGCCCCAAACTGGAAACATTCCAGATGTCCATCAGTAGAATAAACTATAGTATATTCATATAATGGACTGCATAGAAATAGCAAGGAATAAACTACTGATATATCAACATGGCTAAATCTCAGAAATATACTGAATGAAAAAAGCCTTACTCAAATTACATACTGTATGATATCATCTACATAAAATGCTAGAAAATGTCTGGGGTTAAGGTGTAGAGAATAGATTGTATGCGGGCAAGAAGGAACTTTGGGGGGATAGTACTGACTCTCTTGTTTGTAGTGGAAGGCTTCATAGGTGTGTGTATATATACATAAACTAATCACCTTAACCATCTGGTATTTAATTTTACTTACTATATTCTCAATAAACCTGTAAAAAATAACTAAGAAATGAATTGCTTAGTTAATTATTGTGGATCTGGGTGCTGCTGATGTGGAATGAATACGAAAAGCACCCTGAAGCCCAGTGATGCAGCTGACCCTTCAAATGTCTTGAGAAGCCCAGGAGCCAGACAGCTGCCCCTATGCCTCTTTCCTTGCTCTTTCTGAAGATTCTCCAACCAGCACAGAGCCACCTTTATACTAGGGGAACAGCAATGACTCCATCTTTTTCCCATGACCATAGGTTTTCTTCTAGAAGTTTCACAGGTTTAAAATCAGTTCTCACAGGTTCTAGGAAGATGGAGGAGTAGGGGGATCCTGAGCTCACCTAGTTCCATGGACACGCCAAGATTAAAAACACAGCAGCACAACTACCTC